AAAAAAAAAACTGAATCAGGGCGATTTCAGTTTCCAAATGCATACCCTTAATTCTCATTTGATGCCATCAAATGGTGGACATAAAGTTTCAAAACTCGCTAAAAAAGGGATATTATGAGGTATCTCAGCCATAGCTAGCCGAACAAGGACGATTTCAGACTCCATAGAACTTTCTGCTGACAGAATCGTAGCTAGGCAGATTAAGCACTGCAAATCAAGAAGAGAATTACAGAAATATGCGCTCGTTAGATAAATCATATGAACGGGAGAAAAGAAAAAAAAATCTTTCAGGACATTGAATTACCATCGCCATAAGATGCCATTGTGAGGGGAGACGTAAAAAGCTTCTGTGCTACTCTAGCAATATCTTTCGGGTGGATTAAATCAAGAATCTCAAAGAAATGATTTACGGTTTTCCTATTAATGGAAGTAAACAATTAATGGTGTGCCCCGAAAAAGATAAGTGGTACCCTAAAAATTCTTCCCAGATCAAAAACGAAAGAACAAAAAAAAAAAGCAGGTAAAAACATTATTTATCAGAATCAGAGAAACAAACAAGCACGATCTCCAGGATCTATACTAAGCTAAATTTATCTAACATAAGCTAATTTATCATTAGCTCCAAAAAATGTGAACTAAGAGGGACAATGGTCATGCAATTATTCTCTAGAGTGAATCAGTTTCTATTTCTCCAAATCGTTTTCTTATACTGACTTGAGAACACTCCGATAATGTATTCCCCAGTCCAATGTGTTTTTTCCTTTTGATTTTTATTTTTTCTTTCTTCCTCTCTTTCTTTCTTTTTTCTTTTGCTAGTTTGACTTCGACAAAGCAACGTTGAACTTGTTTAGTATGGAGATTCATATGAATATTGTTTGTCAGTCATACTTAGAATTTTTTTTTCTTGCTTGATCATGAATTGTTCAACATTAGTTATATTCACTGTACTAAAAATCGGCTTAGGCGGCCGCCTAAGCGCTAGCCACCGCCCAGCCACCTCCGATTGGCATGAATCGGCTGAAAAGGTCGGCCAGGCGGGCTCGGCGGCAATTTTTCAATTTGTTTTAGATACTGATTGCATTATTTTGTTAACATGTTTTCTTTATAATATATTAGTATTATTATTTGGACTTACGTTGTGGGCTTATTATAAGTTGGAATAATTTTATTTTGTAGGTGAAAAAAAAAAAGTATTTAATCTTAATGCGCGCTCTAAGCGTTAGGCGCTGGTCGAGTACTTAGCAACTTCTAGAAGACTGGTTATATTGTAAGGTCCCAAAATGAACGACTTTGTGGTAGTTACACAATTATTTCAATGAACGTTTTAATTTTAAGCAAACCATGTTATCAGTGGCCACTCTCTCAAAAGGTTTGACCGTGCGTAATTACTAACATGCAATTGCATTAAAAAAAAGTTATTACTGGGCTGACCTTTCTCCATATGTCAATATTTGTTTGCCTATGTCTTCTGATGCAACCATCTGCAAAAACAACCCAATCAGTGACAAAATATACCCACCACATCCATATAAAAATAGAAGGCATTCTAAATGAAATATGAGCACGATTTAAGTACTCTGGATTCCAAGTTCATCAAAATGGAAGACTTTGTTGCTTGTTTTGCACGATTTAGCTGAGCCTCGTCAACTGCAAGATCAAAATAAGCATGCTAACAAGATCAACAAAATTTATCCAAACAAAAAAAAAAAAA